GGTAGTTTATATGTTCTAAGTCATGTAATCCTCTATGAAGAAGGTATTATTATTGGCATCCCCATTTCACACACAAAAAAAGAAAACTGAATCTTAAAGATCAAGTGACTTGCCCAAGGTCTTGTAGCTACTAATGGGAAGATCTGGGATTTGAGAAGTTAGTTTGATTCCAGAACTCATTCACGTAACTTCTGCACTGTTACAAGAGTCAACCTAGTGGTAGACAGGGTTATTGAGAGGATGGCAACTGGGGACATCCTCTCACACCCTTCCATCTGCTGGCCTCTAGTGTGCCTCAGCTTCCTCTGGTTCTGCCAGTATTGGCTTTATTCATTCCCCTCTCCACTTAACAAAGTGAAAATTAATATTTAATTATTCTCCTAAGTGAAAATCAATGGCTATGTTGGCCAGCCCTAGCAAGGTCCACTGTTATCAGTCTTTCCTCCCAGCCTGTCAGGGGCAGCAGCAACTGGCAGCAGTCACCTGGATTCAGGCCCACCAGCTTAAGAAAGAAATGAGTGCCCAGCTCCCTAGAGGCACTGGGTCCTGGGCACAGCTGCCATCTGCTGGAGAAGCAAAGATAAGGCATCAATCTGAGTTTTTGCTGGAGTCAGGCATAATTATCCACATGGAAAGAGGAAAAGCTGGGTCAATCCCCAAAGAGAAAGCCTGGATCTTCAGGGTGATTTCATGGGGTCTGCTCAACTGAGACCTCCTTTTTGCTCCCCTCCACTTTCCCACTGCCAACTTCCAACACCTATCAAAGCTTGGTTCCCTACCCAGGACTTCTGTCAAACCTTAGTGATATGTCACACTTGGCCCCATCTTGGGTAGCATCTGCCCCATAAAGCTTGAGCTACTTCTAAAGTCTCACTTTAGGCTTCAACCCAAAGAGAGTGAGGCCAACTTCATTCCTACTTTCTGGGATTCCAAGAGTGCCCCCTTATTCATCGGTCTCTCTGCCTATGGTATCCCTTCTTTGGGGTACCTATTCCTCAAACACTGTGCAAGAGGTAGACATAACTGAGTAGGGGAGTACATTTGCTTTTACAGATTGTGCTCTGCACTAAATAACTTGGGTGGAGAGGAAAAATGTAAACTAAAATTCAGCCATAGTCTATTGGCCAAACCATACATATTATTATTGCAAGGCTGTATCCACCCAGAAAAAGGGGAACAATTTTTCTTACTTATTCCCCTGGTTGGGGAGTGATTTTAGTAATTTATACAAAGGCACTGTATGTGCATGCAATCACTCAGGGAAGGCTTTGCTTTCAAGGAGCCCAGGAATAACTCAACATGTCTCATTAGGGTTTACGTTAGACATGTAAAAGAGGCATCAGGAGTGGAGAGGAAAGAGCAACTTTGCAGAGGAGAGGCTATCTGAGCTGAATCATGACCATGTTTCATTATGTTTGAGGGTCTAAAGACCTAAAAGACAAAGAAGTGTTGAGAATAATATGAGAATGGGCAGGAAGATGTTCAGCAAAGGGGATTGAGACTACCTGTGAAGAGTATTGTGGAGAATATTGGGAATGAGTTTTGACAGTCAATCAAAGATCTTGGGCTTTATCAGGAGGCTTACAATAGGGAACAATAGGTGAATTTAAGCAGGGAAGAGTTAGGGACTGATTTTTAAAAGATTTCTCTAGCTACAGTGCGAAGGTTGAGTTGAAGAAGGAGTAATACTGGAAGCAGGATGACCTTTTCAGATAATGTCACTTGAGCATAGGCTAATGATGATGTAGGCTGGCATAGAACTGGGAATAGGGAGGAATGTGGAGGACAGCATGGACTTTAAAGCTATATAAGACATCCTTAGAGATAGTAGGACCAATACGACCAGATAGCAGATTGAATTAGAGGAGTGGGTGAGGAAGAAAGGAGTGCAAAAGGTGATGAAATTTGTGTTTGTTTTTGATCCACTCTTTCTTGCATCTCATGGCACATCTCCCAGACTCAGCAATGGTCCCTTCTCTGGGGAATTTGTGATAAACTCTATTTTATGGGAAGAAGGAGCACTGAGGGTACAAATGTTGAGTGGAGAAGGAATAGTTGGTAGTGGTACAAAAAAATCAGAAGAGCTGAAGTGGGCAATGTGGAGCACAAAGGCAGAAATTTTAGAGAAACCAAGCAGTGAGTTGGGGTAGGGTCTTGTTTTCCCTTCTGATTTCTGGATCAGAAGCACCAGGACCTTGTGCACATCTGTGCCACCCATGACCTTCCCCTTCCATTGCCTACAATAGATTGTTCTCTCCTCTATGCCTTGATTTCTCCTTCAGGGACCTGAAGAAGCCAAGGGCTCTTCACCTGAGAAACTCTAAAGGGAATAGGTGTCCAGCTAGGGAAAGAGCTCATCTGAAGTCACACAGCAAGTTCTTGGCTGAGGAGCTAATGCCCTCTTTTCCTCAAAGGGGAATCCCAATTACCTCACTAACTCCCAGATCCCTCCCCTGATGATGGCAGAAAGAAAGGCAGGTTAGGGTTGCCCAGGAAGCTCATGTGGGCAATTCTCTTTCTCTTCTAGTTACACACAGAATCCTGGATTTCCTCCACAACCATTGTTCTATGGGGACCGGGGTTTAAAGCCCTGGGGAGTACTACTATGTATTCATCCTCCTGGGCTTACCTCCTTGGGACTTCTCTGCACCTCCAAACTCCCAAACAGCCAACTTCCCCARTTCCTGAGCCATAAACCTGAGTCAGACAGTATTTTCTATTTCCCCTTGTCCCACATCCAAAACAACTATATAACTATATAATTTGTCCATTTACTTCTACCCTGGTCCAAGTCCCCTCACCTTCTACCTGTATTGTTGATCTTCCTATTTCGAGCTTCCTTTCCAAATCTTTCTCTGTATAGTGACAACTATGGGATGCTCCATAAGACAAAATTGACAAAATCATTTCCCTACTTAAAGTCCTCCCTGGATATTTATTGCCTTTGAAATACAACACAATCAAAAGTCTTTGATATGTTTTTCACAGCCCGCCCTGCCCCAGCCCCTGAGTGGATTTCAATTTCCTTTAACACACACACACACACACACATACACACACACACACACACACACACACACACTCCTAAGAGGCAGATAAATGAACAAAACTAATCATATCTGATGTACCTACTAATATCTAGCCATCATCATTTTCACCACAATCCTGAAGGACAGGACCATGATCCCTTTTTTACAAATGGGGAAACTGAGGCTCAGAGAACTTGAAGAAGTTGCCAGCGATGTACCCAGGATTTAAATCCATATCTGACTCAAAAGCAATTTGCCCTACCCTGGCTTTGTCTGTACTAATGTCAGAAACTTGCTCCTATAGACTTGCAGCCCATATTCCAGCCAGCTAGAATGCTCAGCTGTCAACCTACCTCTCCAATTATCTCCACATGGCCAGTGACCCTAGGCCTGTAAGACTCATGTCAAAAACTTCTTCCTCAAGGAGCTCTTCCTGAGTCGTGTCAGCCTCTCCAGCTGGAGTCRGCCTAGTCCACAGCTCTTCACCTTGCAATGTGTCAAGGCCCTAGTCCCTCTATGCCTCATTATTTGTGTTCCTGACTTAAGAATGGAGTTGAGAAGCACAATATAAAAATCCTGGACTTCCCTGTCAGATACAAAACTGGGAGAAAATMTCAGCTCTACTACTTACTCAATCATGTGATCTCAGACAAGTTATTTAATGTCCCTCAGCCTCAGTTTTCTCATCTGCAACATGGGGACAATGGTATTATTTTACTGTACAGTTGAAAGAATTTGGAGACAATGTATGTAAAGTGCTTGAAAAAGGGCCTGACACATGATAGGTTCTCCGGAAATGATATTATCTTCCTCTCTATGAGCCAATGAGGAGAGGGTCCTCATCTAGGTCAACATTGTTTCCCCTGAAGGGTCCAACCTGGGACTTGTCACAGAGTTCAGGACATGCTGGTAGCATGCCTAAGGGTGGAAGAGAGGCTTCCAGCCTCAAGGACTGGACACTGCCTGACCCATGAGGGAATGTGTATGAACCACTCAATGCCCACTCTCCATCAAAGGGTGGTGAAGTGGGTGGGAGGAGGGAAAGGGGCATCCCCCAGAGCACTAGTGAGCACCATCTCCCAGGAAACCCAGCCTGGGAGGCAGCTGCCATGGAAACCACTGCTGTCACATGTGCTCATCACTCTAGGCTCCAGAGAGAAATTCTCAAGATCTATTTAAGAACTAATAAAATAATGATGGTCTTGCTCACCCTCACTGCCCTCCACCCCAGGCTTCTACCCTCCTTACCAAGCTTCTCCCCTGCCCCTCCTGCATCCTCTTCCTGCCCCCTCATTCCTTCATTTCCTTCCCATGTTCACCAGTTATTCTCTTTCCTTTCCCCTTTCTAGGTCTGTCTCCTACTTTCTTTCATAATTTCTATCTTTCTGTATTTCTTCATCTCTCCCTGTTTCTCTGCTTTCCATGGCTCTGTCTCTTGGTCTCTCCTCCACAATCACAGGTGGCCATGCTCAGGGACGGGTCCTGTCCTCCTGGTCCCTGTTCCAGGACAGTCCAGACCTGTCCAGCTCGCCCTGATCTGCTTGGATTGATCTGTCATCCCCTCTAGACTGCAACCTGAGTCCTGTCGGTGTTTCGGCCCCCACCCACAGCCTGGTACACTGCAGGTGCTACACCACCAGCGGGTGGGTGTGTCAGAGCCCTGGGTGGGAGGGGGATTGTACTGGTTCAGGCTTGGCCTGTTTTCCTTTCCTTTCCTTTTTTTTTTTTTTTTAAATAAGTCCTCCCCACCCTCCTACCTCCAAATTTGATCCAAAGGAAATTGCTCAACTGTGACTGCCAGGGCGTTACCATGGTTACTGGGTAGCACTTGTGGCTATGGTAACAGGAAGCTGCCTGTTGTCTCGGCAACAAGCACATTGATAGGAGATGGAGTGGCCCCTGATTGGTGCAGAAGCAGTGCATTTCCTGAGGGGAGGGGGTCAGATCATCACCTTCTCAGGCCAGATGGGCATCAGTACCCCTTCCTCCATGAACTGGAAGGCCGCTGTTCTTCCTCCCGGCACTCAGCTGTCTTCCCCCCAACAATAATTCCTTACATCCCACGCACCCAACTCTTGGCAGTTTACCAAGACCTTTTGCATCCCCATTACCTCATGTGATCCCCACAACACCCATGAGAGGAAGGTGAGATGGGGATTCAATCATGAATTCACTTAGGGTGGTTGGGGGATGGGAATGTGGGGGGTATATATTAAAATCACCTAGGAGTTTTTTCAGAGTATACAGTCCCCTAACTAAGATTAAGAGTCTAATATGGTTCCCAGGTGATTCTTAACCACCTATATAATCAGGGAACCCTTGAATTAAAAGGTAAAACTGGTTGGAGGGGGGAAAGCAATGGATGGAGAAGTCAAGCTGCTTTCCAGGTTTAGAGCTTGGGTGATTTGGATGGAGGATCAGGTTTGGGTGAAAAGATGAGCTCTGGTTTGGGTATGTCGAGTGGAAAATGCCAGTGGGCCTTTCTAGTCAGGATGTCCAGCAGGATATTAAGCAGCTGGGAAAATGGGTCTGAGGATCAGGAGAAAATGTGGGCTGTTGATGCGGAGCTCTGAGTCATCCTTGTATGGATAGTAGCTGARGCTGTGTGGATGAGACTATCCAGGAAAATTAGGAAGAGTGAGACAGGCAAGAGCCGAGGAGGGTGACTTAGTGAACGCCAGCATCTTCAGGAGAAGAGAAACCCAGGCAGGGGATGGAGAGGTGAATTCAGAGACTATGGTGATACAGAAGCTTGGGAGAGTTTTCCTTATTTGATGAATTGAATTTGAGAAAAAGAGAARCTTACTTAAAGTCAGACAGTCATGAGATGGCAGGGCTGGGCATAGATAGCACTAAATATAACCCCCWTCTTGTTTAATCTAAATAATATTTAACATTATTTTCTCAGTTTTATATGTAAAACACAAATGTACAGTTTCAATTAAACCCTCTCACCCAATTCCTCTTACTCAAAGTCTTAGATGAGTCTAGGAGCCATGGAGACAGGCCTTACACAGCCCAGCCCAGAAAGCAAAGCAGAAGAATCTTTTTATTTGCCCCATTCTACCTGGTGCATGCCACTGAGTTTCCTCCCCCTCATCCCTTCAGGTCTCCGCACTTTCTAAATTCCTGGGTTTAAGGAAGGGATCTTGGAGAAAATCTACAATCCTAGTAGGAGTGGGGGAGTGTAGAGTTCAAAGGCACTAGGGCTCAGATCTTAAGGAGTCCAGGGGAGGATGGGGGTCTCAGGACCAGGCAGTTATGCTGAATGGGTATGTTGGTCCAATGTCTTTCAGATGAATCGTCCGATCCAAGTGAAGCCGGCTGCCAGTGAGGGCCGAGGAGGTAACTTTCCTGTCTGCTGAACCTCAGGGTATCACCCATGTCAGGGATGGTGGGCCCACTCCTGAAGTCAGTCCTACTCATARCTGATTAATAAATACCCCCTGGGTCAGGGGCCCAGAGTTGTTCAACCCCAGAAACAGCTCAGYTATCCCAACTCAGAAAGGGGAAGAAATGGGAGCCCAAACCCAGAAGATGCAGAAAGGGGAGATTCAGATGCCGGGGACAGAGGAAGGAAGCTTTTGCCACCTTATCCTTGGAGAGCAGTTGCTCCTGTTTTACCAGGTAGAAATTACACGTTTGTTTGAAAAATGAGTCTGGGGTTATTCTGCCTTTCTAGATTCTTCTGATTCCAGAAAATCAGTCCACTCTGGGTTGAGGCCATTTATTCCTTCACTGTACTTGCTTGGTTACTCTTGGTAAACAATCAGGATGGGATGACAGACTTTTCAAGCCATAATAAAGAACTTGATTTTATGCTGAGGATCATAGAAAGTCTCCAAAAGTTTTTTTAGAGACTATTTCCTGGTAGAGAGACTACCTCTCCTTATGAACAGGAATGATAGAGATCCAGACTACCAGCTGGATAGTTGCCAAGCTGGAAATGCAATAATGACTTCTTTTGTCAGTTCTTGGTGTCTTTCTCACCCTTAGGTCATGTATCATACCAGGATATCTGCCTGTAGTATATCCCTCATTGACATCTGCTGATCTCTGCCTTGAGTAAGACTCTCTCCATGTCTTACCCAAATCAGCCATGGCTTTGTTAGATGAAAGAAGCTGCCCAAGATAAGGAAGAGAAAGGAACCCAATTGATATGAACATTTATTGACCCCTACTAATTCTGCACACCTTCTCAGACTTCAGTTCAATGTCTACACTCACAAGGGCTCTGGCAGCTTAATGGTTCCATTGTGGAATATTCCCTTCATCTGTTCAGATTCTCTGGGCTTTAGTCTCTGACTCTTGATCTTTGGTCAAGATGCTATACCCCCATACTTTGTCTTGGAAAAATATTTTCAACTTTCCTCCCCCTTCTCTCTATCTCTCTCCCTCCCTCTCTCTCTCTTCCTCCCTCCCTCATTCTCTCTCTCTCTCTCTCACACACACACACACACACACACACACACACACTCACACACCCTCCTTTCCCATATCATTCTTGCCAGTCAGATTTTTGAGATGTACTAGGCTGTATAAAAATCTTCTGAATCACATGTTCTAAGAATTTCTGCTCCTTGGGAAGCTCTATTAGGCATCAGGGCCAATGTTGGCCATATTCTAACCTATAAACACAAGAGAGTCCCACAGATAAGTCACCCAAAAATAAATTAGTAAGTGAGAAGCAGACAGGTTCATCTGTAGTTCATCTAACCATCCAACCAATATCTTCTGAGTAACTTCCTCCATAAAAAGAATACAATGGTGAGCAAGGCAGTCCTGGCACTTGGCCTCATGGAGCTCCAGGCTATGAGGAAAAAGGGTCACAATTGGGTGTGATCAATGTTTCTCAAGGGAAAGTGCAAAGGGATTATGGGATTACAAACAAGGTGTACCTAACCCCCTCTGGGAGGTCAAGATGAGTTCTCAAGAGGTAACAAAATTTAGTGATATAAAGTGAGATCTGAAAGGTAACAGGAAGTGGTCAGAGAAAGGAGAGAAGTAGCATGTGTCTCATGCAGAGGGGATAGTATGTTCAAAGGCCTCAGGCAACTTGATGCAACTTGGGAGTCTTCTTCAGGAACTGGGTCTACAGTTACTGTATGGAGTGCCACGTATCCATCAGCATTGCAGCAGAACAAAGGAAGTCTTGTGCTAATAATGCTTCTTATTGACCTTATGGCCTCAGTTGGAGTGTTATAATTTTATTCCTCCTTTTGTACACGTTATTGACAAATTCTATATATGTGGCATACCACCTATATACCTATTCAGATTCAAAACAGCTCAACAGGGCAGGAAAAGCAAATCTAGCTGAAAAGTGGGCAGTCTCATAGCTAAATTAATAACTTATGTGTTATACAGATTTGAGGGGTGGTTAATATGTATTGAACCCAGGAGTGATCTACCACTAAGCTATATACCAAATCCTTTTTAAAATTTTATTTTGACACAGGATTTTACTAAATTGCCTAGAAGTTCTCAAACTTGAGATTCTCTTGCCTCAGCCTCATGAGTTTCTGGAATTCACAGGTTACACACATATTTCTTGACAAGCAATGTATCTTCAAGTAGTATATATTCTAAATGTATCCATAAATACTCCTTGMAAGTTTACATGGTCAGGTCTCTCAATTCCTCCCTGCTCTCTGCTACATATTTGGGAGAGAGGAGTATGTAATTAAATCTTGTAGAAATAGTTGGGCTTTTATAATTTAAAAGTATTTTATTACTAACTGATCTGTTATATAATGTTGTTATTAATCAAAATGTGTTACTTTTCTTTAGTGCTATCATATATCTCTTCTGACATGAGTTCAACTCTGCTGAATTTTAACACAATTTTTCTCAATGCTTGGGAAATTCAATTCAAGATGGTATTAAATTTTTGCTTTTGAAATGTAACAGATGATACAACTGTGGGACAGCCTATCCCATTCAAGTCCTACTTTTGTTCTTCAAACATTCTAAAAACTTAGAAGTAATGATCACATCCATGTTGATATATTTAAGCCAGTGAGCCTGTATATTTTTATTATCCCTTTAATTAAAGCCATTAGTTTACAGATGATTAATAATGGCTTCTGTATCTGATAAGGATAGTGGTATCAATGAAACCTGAATTTAAGGRATATCAAAACAAACATAATCTTCCAAAATTCCTCTATGTTCTTCTGGAAAGGATTATAATTTTTTTCTTTCCATAAAACAGGGATCAACAATTCAACTATTCATGTATTTCAAAATGTTAACCTGAGATTATCTGAGGTCAGAAGGAGCCTAGGTAGTAGGTAACCCAAATGGGTGAGATTCTCATAACATAATAAAAATTTATACTTTGATTACATTAAATATTGGCAACTTTTTCAGCTTTTAAAATGGACTACAGCTGCATGCCTGTAATCCCAGTGGTTCGGTAGGCTTAGACAGGAGCATCAAGAGTTCAAAGCCAGCCTCAGCAAAAGCGAGGTGGTAAGCAATTCAGTGAAACCGTCTCTAAATGAAATGCAAAATAGGGCTGGAGAGGCTGGGGATATGGCTAAGTGGTCAAGTGCCCCTGAGTTCAATTCCCTGTACCCACCCCCATCTCCACAATGGACTAGTATAGCGAAAGCCTAATGAAATGTATTGAGTTTGTTTCTTTGGCCCAAAGACCGTTACTTTTCGCCATCTGCCATAAAGGAACATTCCACTTTGCACACATGAGCTTTTGAACAAAAATAGTTATTTTATCTCCTGACTCTTGAATTTCAATGCCAATGCAAAAGAGTAGCAGTATTTGTACTTTCAATTAATAAACATGAGGTTTGTGGTAGAATAACTAGCATATGTGCCATATTTGTATTACTTTTAGAAATTATTGGTAACTCTTGGGAATTCAATGCCTACCACACAATTGCAATACAACAGGATCTGCCTGAGGAAGATGGGAGGTTCTTATTCTTGCATGGCTGACCCCCTGTAGGATTGGTGGCACTTTTCTCAGTGCCAGATGTTCATCCAGGCCTTCATAGACCATATTATTTTAATTTATCCCAGCCAGTTCCTATAAATTATGCAACCAAGTTTTATACTGTTCAGATATTCCATACTCTGTGCCCAAATTTTACATTCTGTGGCAGTTATATGTTGAACAACTACTATTAAATGAAAATGAATCTAATTTTCTCCTAACATAATAATGGTGCCCATTTTTACATTAAACAAACATGTATAAAAACTTTTCCCTTTGCATTTGGATACATTTAAAGGTAAACATTAAAATGTTTGTCTAGGCAGGGTGCAATGGCACTCTCATTGTCCCAGCTAGTTGAGAGATTGAGGCAGGAAGATGACTCGAGCCCAAGAGTTGGAGACCAGTCTGGGCAACAGCAAGATCCCATTTCAAAATTAAATAAGTAAATAAATAATGTCTGCCTGCATAAAAATCCAAGATTCATGTATTTCAAATGTTAACCTGAAATTATCTGTGGTCAGAAGTAAGGGTCAACAAATTTCTCAGACAATGGTAACTAAATAAGTCTGTTTTATTTGCTTTCAGCATGGTAATGTTGATTTTTCTTAACTTACATTACTCTACATTGGAAACACTAATAATAAGTTAAACTGTAAATATACTATTGCAAGAAATGTATTTTTTTAGTCATAAGGCAAAATCCACAATGATCAATTGCCTGTATATTTTCCTCCCTTTCAAATTTCATAATATAGAATCAATAAATTCATAAATCATATTGGTGATTGCTCGGGTTATTCTACTTCCCAACTTGGCTGTATTTTTTATCCAACAAATATATCTAAGTTGCCTAAGATATAGAAATAGGTTAAGTAATCAATTGGTACACTCCTTCCACTTTAGTTTTTTTATTTTAATTATTTTTTATTATTACTATCATTATTATTACTTGTAGTACTGGGTATTGAACTACATCCTCAGCTCTATTTATTTATTTATTTATTTATTTATTTATTTATTTATTGGTAACAGGGATTGAACTTAGGGACACTCAACCACTGGACCACATCCCCAGACTTTTTTTGTATTTTATTTAGAGACAGGGTCTTATTGAGTTGCTTAAGACCTTGCTAAGTTGCTGAGGCTGGTTGAACCCACAATTCTCCTGCCTCAGCTTCCTGAGCTGCTGGGAATACAGGCATGTGCCACCATGACCAGCTCCTGGCCCTACTTATTTTGAGACAGAGTCTCCCTAGATTGTCCAGGATAGTCTCCAACTAGGGATCTTCCTGCCTTAGTTTCCCAGGTCACTGGAATTACAGGTATGTACCACTGGGCACAGCTAGTTTTTAAAAAAACTTTCAGATTTAAAACATTCACAGAGGAT